TATTAACGGAGTCAACTTCCCTAAATTGCTAGAGAGAGAGAGACTGAATGAATAAAACTGAAAAATTGAGAGACTCGAGTCTCTCGTAGAAAGACTGGGATCTCTAAAATATGCTGAACTTTTTTAAATTTTAACCATGTCTATCGAGACACCACTTATTGAGAAATTCGAATCTCTCGTTTAGAGACTGGATACGAAATGAGGATCTCTCTATGAGCGACTCGAGTCTCTCGTTCAGAGACGCTTAACAGTTGTTTTTTTGATGGTTTGTTGACAGTCTCTCTCAGCGACACCAGGGAGACTCGATGAGAGACGGAAACTCGAGTCTCGCTTTCAGAGACTCTGAGAGACTGAACATTTGTGTCTCGGATGTATGAGTTTGTTATGTCAACATCGTCGTGCTTTTTTTTTAAGTTCACCATTATTACTGTTAGGTCACGGAAAATTAAAGACATTTAATTAGTCTGACAAAGGAAGGATAAAATCCTTTAGAAGGCCCCATATTTTAGCATTCAGAACAACTTTTTTCCATTAGACCCGTATTTAAAGGTGCTACCATTTAAACGAAACTTTCTTTTTTCAATTTTGAATACTCGTACGTAACAAATTAAATTTAGATGTTAGGTACAGCCGATCTTGTATTAACAGAGGAAACAAGTTTTCTTTGGAAAACTTTTCGATTAAACTTATACTTTGGTCACAATGAGCATATTCTGAAGTTTTTCTTGGACCATTTTACTCGAAAACGAAACATTTGAATATAACAGCGTTTTTTTACAATTAATCTCATACTTTGACATTCTTAACACACCCTGTACAGTATCAAGTTATTATTGCATTTTTCTAAGATCAATTATTCATCGGCATATAGGACATATTCCTTTTCATACCTACTGGCTCATAGCATACCTAACAAATAAGGTAAAACGTATGTCGTAAGTTAGTCATGACTTATGTTTACTCTGCTGCAATGTAACGTACAAGAGTTTATATCGATTATATTGACAAACAAATGAGAAGTTGAAAATATTATTTTGACAGATGTCATTTAGTAGCGTTTATATTTAAATTCATTGAAATATTAATTGCACTCAGAACATTTCCTATTACTTATTATAAAATATCATTATGACGATTATCATTTACATTCTCGGTTTTTCAGTTACCAACTGCTTTACTATTTTTCAAGTGACGACTTCAATTTCTACTCTTTCTAACTTCAGTCAGTATTGATCAGATTATTTCGCCGCATCAAGTATATAACGTCAGTGAGGCCTTCGAATAACATTTGAAGAACTTTAGTTAACGGCAAATATAGTATAGATGGCGACACATTGGTAAATAGTCCACATCATTTCGCAAATCATCACCTGATCTAGCGCAACTAAAACAACATCTGTCTAATAAACGTAATTTTTCTAAATTAATTAATTAAATATTTCTCCTATGAAATAAAGATTGATTTAAAAGGGTAATTAATATATATAGTTGTTAATTTAATTAAAACATTACGTGTTTTTATTACTCGTCCAGTACTTCACGCATTTTTAATTACCTCCGTTCTCGTTAAATATATTACTTTTATAACGTAGATCGTAAAAGGACGGAGTGTTATGCGAAGCTCCATAAAAAGTTGGCACTATAAATTAAAATAACGTCATAAACAACGTCATATAATATATGTGTTTCTGAATTTACCTTTACCGAGTGGCGTAGCACTGTGTGCGATTTATGACAAATGTGGGACCTCAAAAGTCCCCCGATATTTGAAATAATGACATAATAAAAAGTAGACGAAGAAATACAAAAGCGAAAAACGGTAACAACTTTTTTTAAGTTGATAATTGATNAAATAAAGATTGATTTAAAAGGGTAATTTATATATATAGTTGTTAATTTAATTAAAACATTACGTGTTTTTATTACTCGTCCAGTACTTCACGCATTTTTAATTACCTCCGTTCTCGTTAAATATATTACTTTTATAACGTAGATCGTAAAAGGACGGAGTGTTATGCGAAGCTCCATAAAAAGTTGGCACTATAAATTAAAATAACGTCATAAACAACGTCATATAATATATGTGTTTCTGAATTTACCTTTACCGAGTGGCGTAGCACTGTGTGCGATTTATGACAAATGTGGGACCTCAAAAGTCCCCCGATATTTGAAATAATGACATAATAAAAAGTAGACGAAGAAATACAAAAGCGAAAAACGGTAACAACTTTTTTTAAGTTGATAATTGATGAATGCAAATGGTGTTCAATTATGCGATATTTGGTGACAGAAGTGGAATAAAAGAGGATCAAAGAGAGAAGAAGCGTCGGGTGAGTTGCCGAGATTGGCCTAAAATAAAATAGGTCAAAGTTTTTCAAGAATTTTCATTCTGGAATATTTCTAGAATAAGGCTAGTCACTATACATAGCGGTCAGAAAAGGACAGTTCAATTCTATTTACAAGGTTATAGAAGGCAAAAGAAGAATTGATTCAGTGTGCCATTTAGTAGTGGACAAGTAATTAGTTAATAGTAGTGGCGTTAATTGAAAGAGTAATTCGTTAAATAAATTAGCTAGTAGTTCGAAATGTGTTCAGTTACGAGGTAGAAGAGAATTGAAGAGAGAAGCGTCAGATGACCTGTATTGGATGGTCGAAAAGGGGCCAATAACAAAGAAGGTCACAGTTTTCTAAAATCTTAATTTTGGAATATTATTCCAAGGAAAATACAGAATTTTAACGCATTATCGTCATTTCAGTAATTGTCACAACGGTTCGCCATGCATTTAAGGAAGTTTGGGAGGTATGTCACAATGCTACGAAACAAATAAAAATTTGAACGTTCCTAGTTCAATTCTAAAACTCCTGTAAAAATTACAAATCGATTCACTAAACCGTTAAAAAGTTATTGAAATTTTAAAAAATTGTAATTTTACACGTCATTTTATGGAGATTCGTTAACCGAACAGATTAAATTTATTTTTATTAACAGAAAAAAAGCTACCAGAAATTTCAAACTTTTATAATAAGTAACTTGAACTCTGGAGAATCACTTTAGCGTAAGGTTATTCAAATTCACTAAATGGTTATCGAGGAAAAAATGAAAAATTAGCTGAAAATCTCGTTTTTACTTGATAATATAATGATAATATTTATAATTGTCTGAAATAAATGCAATTTTAAAGTTTTAATTATTATTTAAACATATTAAAAAGTTTTACGCTCATTATTAATAGAGACTGAAACTAAATATTTTTTTGTTTCGAAGTTGAAATCAAGGCATATTCACTGCCAAAAGTCAGTAAAACTTTTCCGTATTATTCGTTATTTCTTATTTTATTCAAAGTTTTTGGTCAAATTCCAAATTTTCTTTCAAACTGTATACTTTATTTATTTATTTACCTCATGATATACTGCAAAACCTAATTAATCACGAATTTCTAATTTTATGTACTCTTGTCTCCGATCGTACCTCCCAAACATCCTTAACTCCTGCAGCCATTTGTGGCACCGAGTTATGTATCGAAATGTGCCACACGCTTCGAGAAATAAGCGCTCTATATTTTTTCGTGAAGCACAATTTCGATACCTGTACTTAATTGCAATTCAGTCAACGAACTCTCGAAGCTTGTCGTGTAATAAAATTTGTGTCGGGAAAGAATTTGAAATCGAGCACCCACACGGGACGCTTAATAGTAGTAGGTAGGTAGGTAGGTTGGTTGGTACTCACCCCTTTTGAGAGTTATCGTCCTGCTGCCCTCGGTCGCGCTGAACAGTCCGTTACACGTGGCGTCGCCACTCTGCGCCACTCGGAATTCAATTCCGTCTATCGCTTCGGACTTTGTGGACGCTTTCTCATACACAAAGCACCTGAAACGGTCCTCGTTAGACGTGGCATGATTATGGTGGACTTTTCCGACGAGATAGCGCGCACTTCCTTCCTTCCACGCCGCCAGGCACTGGAGCTCCTCCACTGCAAAATTAAACCAATTTTTCAATTGTCCGAAAAGCGGTTACGTAAACAGATTTTAAACTGAAATTGCTCCTAGACCGAGCCGAACTCTTTGAAGTCGACTAAGGCCAAGTCAGTGTGCTGTTGAACCAAGGGATTGAGTTAAGATTCCAGGGAAATATTCTAGGGCTACTGAAGCGTACATATGCAATAATATTGCAGATACTTACTCGAAGACTATTGTAACATGCAATTTGGTAGGTATTGAAAGAACGTTTCGGACTGCTGGTCAAGCATTTTCAACTTGATTGTGTTGGCTACTTTTATAACTTGTCATTTTTAAATAGTTGTCTTAATGTTGTAAATTAAATTTTCTAATAATTTCGAAGTAACCCGTGTATTTATAATAACATTAAGATTGGGAAATTTATTTTATTTTAGTTAAATAATATTGGATAAAGTTCTGATTAAAAGATTTGTCGGATAACGACTTCGAACTGTTAATACCTGCTCCATTAGACAGCGTTCAATGAATATTTACAGACGGCGTAGTGAACGCCATCTAAAGACTGATTAACATCACAATTACTGGTAAATTGTATACTTCAGGAGACCGTCTCTAGTAATTATTCAAGTCATTTTGTGCCGCACCTATATATATATATAGAATTTAGAGTCCAATTGTAGCTTGTGGGTAAATACTTATAAAAACTATAGTTTATTTACTATCTTCAAAAGTCTTATAACTAGTAACTTCTACAATTCTTTTTCCAATTATAAAAAGTTTATTTAAGATTTTCCGACTTTTCTCAGGCTCAACAATTTTATTTTTCGGAGAACCATTTCAGAAATTTTTTATCTAACAAAATTGTATATCTTCAATTCTGAAAAATTTATGATGTGACTCATTTGATCCACATTTTCCAATTCTTTCTTAGTCCCAAGAAAGTATTAAAGTCTATATAAGTACATAAAAATCTATATGAGTTTTATATAAGCATAAAATATAGTTTCATTGAGAGAATACAATAATCTATGTCAATTACAAGCAGAAGTAAGTTAAGGTGGTGAAGCAAGCAACGTATAACTATTGATTTGTTGTTATTACTTTTCCAAAATTTTCTGTCTCAACTTAAAAAGTTGAGCAATTCAATCGAGGAACCAATTCAATTCGGAGCGTTTATTTGTTGCTCATCTATCAATTCCCATTTCCACATTGAATGTCGACGGTTTTTCTGCTTACATAAAAGTTTACCCCTTAGGATAGCAGGTGCGGCTTCCTGCCTTTTAATTTTGCAACCATTCATAAACACATCTGCCTCCTGCCAGCCACTCGTTCTCTCATCTCCGTTTCAGACTCTCGTTTAGTATTATTTCGAGCTTTCGAAAAAACAAAGAGTAATAAAACTGCTCTATAAAATTGCATCGTTAGTCTACGTAGAATACGACGACGTCAAGTTGATAAACATATAGTGTTAAAACTCAGAGCAGCTTTAAAAAACAATAATTAAATAAATAATTTAAGAAGCAGTTTCCAAACTGAGAGGCTTTCGTTTAATTCAAATACGTACTTTTACATCTATCAAGAAATAAACTTACTAACGTTTTTGAATTTCTATTTCTATTCATTGGTAACTTCATTTATTATTAGCCAGCTAGTAACTAGATATTTGATATTGATTCTTTCATATATCCTTTGATCAAACTGATCGTGAAACCAATACTTAATTCGTCTGTATTCAATTTACAAATCGATCCCTTTTTTACTCCACCCCTAACTACTGTAGTATTATAGCAATACCACATAATAAACAGCTTTTACATATTTAAGCTTCTAACATATTCTTAGTAAAATAGGAAAAAAGGATGGAAAAGTAACACCTGTTAGTTTCCCTTGGTGTATTATTAAATTTAACAAATGTGTTTTGATCAAAGGTTATTTTCAAATTATTTCCGATTACTCAAATAGGTCAGACTACCTTCCACGTAAAAAGTAGTTGTAAAGGAATGTTCAGAATTTTGCAGATAAGGCATAAGAAGTTTGTTTAATGCATTCATTAAAATTGAGAATTAAAAGAATTATTAAATTATTTTCAAGATCAAAACACGACCCTTCTTTTAAAATTTAATCCTTCAGCGGACAAGAATGGATTAACAAAAGTTCTTTACGAGAAGTTTCTAAATTATTTTAAATATAGGGTTGTTCGGAAAGTCATTTCGTTTTTTCCCGACAGAGGATTTAATTGTATTCTTTTGCACCCAACTTCACATTTAAGCCGTATAATTTTTATATGCTTTGAGAGCTCATATAGCAAGGCTTGTGTGTGAAAAATTCCAATTAATTCTACGCAGTAGTTTTTGGTTGGTGCCCTTTTAAATATGGAGAGCGATAAGCAGCATTTTCGACATATCTTACTGTTTTACTACAGAAAGGGTAAAAATGCTGTTCAAGCCAGAAAGAAATTGACTGATGTGTATGGAGAAGGTGTGTTGACAGTACGCCAGTGCCAGAACTGGTTCGCTAAATTTCGATCCGGCAATTTTGATGTCGAAGATGCACCACGTTCGGGAAGGCCGGTTGAAGCTGATAAAGACGCGATAAAGGCATTAGTTGATGTGAACCGGCGAATAACAACACGTGAGATCGGATTGAGGTTAAATTTATCAAATTCAACAGTTTATGACCACTTGAAAGGCCTGGGATTATCCTCGAAGCTCGATGTATGGGTTCCCCATGTTCTCACAGAGAGAAATCTGTGTCGCCGCATTGACGTCTGCGATTCGCTTCTCAAACGTCACGAAAATGATCCGTTTTTGAAGCGCATCATCACTGGGGACGAAAAATGGGTTGTATACAACAACGTCAAACGCAAGAGGTCATGGAGCAAAAAAGATGAACCGGCTCAAACCATTTCCAAAGCCGATATTCACCAAAAAAAGGTGATGCTGTCTGTTTGGTGGGATTTTAAAGGAATCGTTTTTTTTTAGCTTTTACCGGATAACACAACGATTAATTCGGAAGTCTACTGTCATCAGCTGGACAAACTGAATGATGCACTTCAACAGAAAAGGTCAGAACTAATCAACAGGAAAGGTGTAGTGTTTCACCAAGACAACGCGAGACCTCACACAAGTTTGGTCACTCGCCAAAAGCTTTTACAGCTTGAATGGGATACAATGCTACACCCACCATATTCTCCAGACCTGGCACCATCGGATTATTATTTGTTCCGGTCACTCCAAAATTTTTTAGACGGTAAAACCTTCACCTCAAATGAGGAGGTCAAAAACCTCCTCGATCAGTTTTTTGCCAGCAAAGACCAAAAATTTTATGAGCGTGGAATTATGCTACTACCAGAAAGATGGCAAAAGGTGTTGGACCGGAACTGTCAATGTATAATTTAATAAAGTATTTGTTTATTATACGAAAACTGTCTTTCATTTCCACAAAAAAAAAAAACGAAATGACCTTCCGAACAACCCTATATTTAACACTGTAAGCTAACACCTACTTACCTACTGGGTTAGCGATTGTTTAAATAGCAGAATTAATAATAACCGAAGGGTCGAATCTAAAATCACGAATTAGGGTGGTGAGGCGGCTTGCTGTCGTCACTCACCTTGTGATAGTTTCTTGTCATTTCTACGTTTCCCAATTACTTACTTACGTCAGGGTATATCCGAATACTTCCCAATATGTACAAATTGTCCCGATTGCAACAATTTAATTTAATTTATTGTTTTAAAGTGTCACAACCTGAGGTTAATTCATTCGTAAAAGCGCGAAATGTATATCATTTGATTTGAAAGCGAATTGGTCAAATTTCAGCCGCACGAAATTTTGTAGTTGTTATTAAATATTCTAATTAGCAGTGACATTTTTGTTTCCCGTCTGCTCATTTATCATTCCCGGGAATTAGTTAAATATCTTGTTTTGTGCCTAAACCATAATTTATAAGTTATGAAAGATAAATACTTATGGCAAAATTTAACTGGCAAATTAATTCTCTGAAATGCCTAAAGGCAATATAAACGAATGTGTGTGGCGAACGTTAGTACGTTGGCATTGAACACATAAAACCCTTTCTTGCGCTGTCATACGCGTCAAAACGTTGAATGGGGCATTGAAATTAATTTTCTGTTTTCACGTAATTTCAACCGTGCCTACTGCCTGATTAATTCTGGTATTTGTACTACAGATTTACGAAATTAGATGATATTTAGTCTGGAAACTCCAAGAAATTATTTTGTCAGGCAAAAGCTATTAAGTAATTATTATTGACACTTAGAACACTAAAATAAATAAATTTTGAACACTTACAAAATTCGTTACAAAACCTGTATGAGAATAAAGTATCTATTTCTTGATGGAGGGAAACATTTAAATATTTGCTTCAGAATTATCTTTAATTTTTGTTCTATATTTCCTACCTTTTATAGTGAATCAATAAAAAGTAAATCCTATTAAAAGATTTTTTGTTACTTTAATTTTATTCTGTGATTTTTAGGCGATTGACTGTGACATTCAACAGGAAACCAAGATTTTAGTGAAATTTGATTGTTTCATATGTCGAATTGGTCCCTAAGCGGGATAAAATCGAGTAACTTAAATATAAGAGCGCATTTTTGAACACGGGGTAAAGTTATCCGCTTTTTGGTTTTTCTTCTGTAACAAAAATTGTACAACTTTAGTGCATATACAGATCTTTTTTATAGAAAATTAAATTTCCTATTGAAGTAATACTTTTTAAAGTCAAAAAGAATTTTATCAATGAAATAAATCCAAAAAACAATGCGAAATAAAAATAACTATAAACGAGAGATATTGACGTTCAAATCTTGCCACCCTCTTTGATACTTTCATTGTTTAGCTTCGTGCTTCAAGAAATAAATTAACCTGAATACGTAAATGATAACAAGGAACATAACAAAATTAATTAAACGGACTGATATTTAAGCATAAAAGGAATACTTTGTTTTTTAAGTAATAAATAAAAATTAATACTTAGTTTATTTAATTT